TTTTAAATAAAAATGGATGCAAGCCTTCAATGGAAGCCAAACAATGATTTGTAAACAATTGTAGCATCCACTTACCCGCCCTCCAAAGCGGCACTAGGAAGAAAAATATACAATCAGTATTTACATTTTTACAGAATTACAAATAAACGCGGTATAAAGTTAACTTAGGAATAAATTGAGTATAAGTGCTAATACAGTAGAACCTCGATAACTCAAACCTCGGTAACTTAAAGACCTCTATAACTTCAAAAAATAATATGTTCCGTTCCCATCAGAGCCCAAAACCTCTACAACATAGACTCTTGTAGCTTAAAACCTCTATAACTTAAAATATTTTGTGTTTCCCTTGGACTTTAACATATCGAGGCTCTGCTGTATTAGTAAAAATTTTGCATATACCGAGTTTATTTCTAAGTTTAACTTTATACAAAGTTAATTTGTAATGCTGTTAGTGTATATGAGATAGTTTTACATAAGTTTTGATTATATTGTAATGTTTTAATTTGATATTTACCTGAGTATTGTGTGAGGCAGACCGGTGAGGGAATCTATCCCCGCATGTCTATCCTTATCCGAGCCTGGCATTCCGAATGGATACAGCGGTGACATGTTCTAAAACAAAGTAAATGTCAAACACATTAGTTTCCATTGCTTAAACATCCACACAAAAACATTTTGCTATTACAGGAGAAGAATTATAGTATATTGGCAAATCCTCGGTAAAATAAGATTTATACCGTTTTATTTTGTACTAGCTGTTGCTCGCGACTCCGCCCGCGTTAAATTTAAAAATAACACGAAATGTATCCTATATTACTCACAGATTAATCATCTTTCAATTAGACAAAGAATTTTTAAAATCGGCACAGTAGTTTTTACGTAAATTAAATACATACAAAAATACAAATACTTCCTCTTTGTAGTATTATAACAAAAGGAACCAAAATCAAGCCCCCAAACTCATCAGACGAAACGCGTTGCTTTTACTTCACCTCTGTCTTAGTATTGTACAAGGGGAACTGGTCCAATCGTACCTTTAAACAATTATTATAATTGTTACTAGTAATATTAATTTAAACACTCCACTAGAGATCTTGTCAGGAATTCGCGCGAATATTCCAATACTTCTAATGACATTGACAGCTGTCACTTAGAGATATGACGTTTATGCCAATAATCTAGTGTTGCGCCAATTCTACAGCGCAGTACTAATTTTTTTCTTAACAGTACGAAGATGTTAACAGGCTCTACCACTGTTAGTATTAGGAATTAGTAAGTACCTTTCCCTTGGTGGCCGCGGCGACCGCCGCGTGGTACGCGCCGTGCGCTGCCGCCTGCGCCAGCATCAGGTCGCCCCTCAGCAGCGCCAAGTCGCGGTCTTTGCTCTTACCCGATGAACTAGATGAACTTTTCCCTAGAAAAAAAGTGCCAGAATTTATATTACAATGCAATCCACAAAGAGGACATGCGTGAAGTAAAAGTATTCCTGCGTTGTGCCAAATTATTTGTCTTGTTGTCCTTCCTCCATCTTTTTCTAATAAGAAAGTGGATTTGATTTGGAAGATCTAGAAGACATAGAAAAAGGGCAAATATCATACTTTGATATGTCTTTCTCTTTTTTAAGGGGACAATGCATCTGTAAACATTTGATTTGTTGAAGATGTCTTGCATACTTCCCATCTTATACTAATATCAAAATCATGCAACGCTGCTTACTTTGGTCTTCGTTTGTTAACTAGTTGCATACCATATTGCATGCATTGATAATCTACTACTGATTTAGTTTCTTACTAGATGAGGAGGATTGCTGCGGTGGTTTGGAGGACTTGGACTGATGCGGCGCCGACACGAGGCTGTTGAGAGAGGCCAGACTCGACAGCGATGCCTGCGAGTGCATCGCTGACGGTGATGAGGTCTTCGGAAAGCCGTATGACGTTCCTGTACAATTAACAATAAATATAGTAAAAAGATATCACAATTTAGGTAAATTAGGAACATACAATAACAAGAAGACGAGATACCGTACTTCAGACTCCATGCAACCTTCTCGCTTTAATATTCTGCTACTCTAAGTTAATTTTAGCTTGTTTGTAATGAAAGTATGACTATTTTTAAATAAGATACGTGCCCCACTCACTCATGCTCGGCTGCGAGCTACCGCCAGTCGAAGGACTCTTGTCCTTTAACGACGCGCTCGACGAAGTACCGCTACTGCTCCGGCCCGATCTACTGTTAACACAAGAAAATTCTAGAAAACATCTATAGTAACGCATTAGTCGAATCTTATTACTAACATAGCATTAATTAAAATTTAATAAAGGGGGGTAATAAACACTGCTGACAAATCAGTCTTGGGAAATTTACAAGGCATTATTATTAACCTACTCTATTACCGCCGAGTTAGTGGTCACTAGGTAAATACTTACTGTAGATTTATAAAAAAAAAACTACACTCAGGTAAACAAATACATTTCTGTATACGACCAGTTATAAATATAAATAAAAAAGCACCAACTCACATACCTCTCGCTCCTCATTGGCTGCTTGGGATGTTTAGGCGGTTGCTTCATTCCGGCTGTAGCCCCCGATAGAGCTGACAGCGCGGAGTACGGGTCCCCGAGGGGCGGGAAGTTGAGGCCTGAGGCTTGGAGCCGCGCTAGATAGTCCTGCGCTGCGAGGTGCGATGCCATCGACCACCATGCTGCACCTGGAAAACCACGTATTTTTGATGTATGCTTAGTTGTATGACATTGACAATGATTGCGATTTTTATATCATAAGATGGCAATCGAGCAAGCGGCCACCTAAATCCGTCAAACTGTCAAAGCGACCGCTGCTCATGAGATCCCCGCATTAGCTGATGCGTTGCTTACCCTAAATTGGCGAAGAAGGAGACGCAAATGAAGATAACATTTCCCCCTCCTATGCATCTCCTACACCGTCAAATCCAAGTTCCCTTCCCATCCTTTTCTTATAAGAAAAATGGTGGAAAGGGATACACTAATTCTGTACGCGGAATTGCTCCCACTTCACGCCTGTCTTCTGTATGGTCGTGATATTCTATCGGGCGAGCCGACCCATTCGTGCGAAGATGTTAAGGCGGGCTCTACCACTGTTACTTTTCAATGGTCACTATTTTGCCTACATGGCAAGTAGGTAATTGATAGTAATGAAAGTATACTAACTGGCAGCAGGATGTAGGCCGAGAGAAGCTGCCTGGTTGGCAGCGACGCCGAGTGTGGTCGGCGGCGGATAGCGGGATCCAAAGCCGAAGAGCGCCGCCTGCGCCTGCGCCTGGGCCTGGGCCTGAGCCTGAGCCTGAGCCTGCGCGGCCGCTGTCCCGCCGCCAGACCCATCTCGGCCCCAGTACGCTATAACAAAAATAAATATTAAAATTTGAAATTAAAAGCCAAAATCAAACTTCGCTCTTTGATATAATCGTTAATTCGTACTAGCTTCTGCCCGCGACTCCGTCCGCGTGGAATAAAAAAAAAAAAAAAAAGTGGCAGCTTACGTGTTTTTCAATTTTCATCGAAATCCGTTCAGCCGTTTAAGCTACAAACACTAACAAACATCCATCCAGCCATCTAAACATTCGCATTTATAATATTAGTAAGATTTAAATGATTCCATCGCTCTCTAAACAATAGATTATGTTCCTCGCTTGGTATGTTATTAAAAACACGGAAGTGACAGGTGTACATACTGGTATTACCTACAATATTGTATTGAATTATTTAGATTATAATATCTAGTTTAGAGGTAAAAAAATTCTTAAGTTGTTTGCGTCAACATCGTTCTAAGCCGCGTATACAAATATAAATTTCCTAATAATTCACATGTATTATTAGGAACATATTTCACACACTGACAATCAATCGATATCGTTGCTTATTTCGTCTCAATACGAGTTATGTCGCAGAGGCGTGTGTCGGGGACGCTCGCAAGGTCAACGAACTCGGCCGGGTTGACTTATATGGTGGCATGGTACAATACCACATGAGTGTTGAACGACAGAGAGATGAGACTTCTTTTTTCAATAAACGATAAGATCACAGTCGACCGCCACACCTAACGATGGTTGCGTGTTTACATAGATTCCTTTACTTTGTATTTTATGGTTTAATTCATTTCTGAATTTGTTACTTAAAAATCTATACATCTAAACGGAATTTGGATTAAAATTATGTATGTGCCGTACCCTTATTAGAATTAAGACAGATTCTATTTTACCTTTCCTTACCCCAATATGAAACTCTAACCGAATTGATAAGAACCCTTCGTCTTTATACTCTCTTTAAACCACACATAAAACACTTGTCTCCTATAACTTTCATTATGCTTTGATAAAACTTGCCTTTATCACTTTATTTGTTATTTCCTCTTTATAATATTAGTATAGACTTGCTCCTGCACTTCGCCCGCGTAAAATTATAAAATTATAAAAAATATAGACTATGTTACATGTTATGGTAAAATATTTTTTGAAATCAATCCAGTAGGGTTTTGAGTTATTTCAATACATACAATAATAAAAAATCTTTCCTCTTTATAATTTTAGTACAGATTAAATTAATTATTAGAAACATTGTAACTCTATCGTTAACGGAGATATAACTGAAATAAACATGTACCTCCGAAGAGTCCAGCGGCATCCAGCAGGCCGTCGGGCGGCGGCTTGCCGGCCGCGTCGCCCTCGCCGTTCTCCTTATCCATGCCGCGTCTGTAACAACACAATAAATTCAATAATATGCACAACCCTTACATAGTAATTGGACTTATAACCTAGGACAAGGGGGCAAGTTTTAATCACACACTAGTCAGTTTAATAGTAAATTTAGTTTTTAATTTAATTTATTGATTTTAAACTAGGCTAGAATAAGAAATGCAAACTGTGATATAGAAATAAGATACCTGGAAATTTATATTTAGGCCAATTGTAAAACTTTTTTGAAAACAAAAACACCCACATCCCAGGTCCCTGACAAATATATGTCAGGGGAGCGACGAGAGCGGCAGAAGCCGCCAAAAAAAAAGGGGCAAGTGTGTCTTAGATCAAGTAATAAAGGGTCCGGTGAACTTCTGCAATGCCTAAACTGTTTTTAAGCAAACGCATTAAACAACTTATAATTTTATTACTTATGCTAAAAATAAGAAGAGAAATAATTTTATTAACTTATTTAATAAAAAAAGTTCCGCGCGAAAGAAGTCGCGATCAAAGGTTAGTTGTAAATATAACTAGAAATGAAGGTTTAATAAAAATTCATTAAAATACTTGACTTGAAACGTTTATTGATTATATCTCAGCGACAGTACGTGAGCGAACTATAAAACACCAATAGCCTCATCGACTCTTGCGTCATCTCTGATAGCCCGATTAGGGTAATAAGACCGTGGGAGCTATTTATATCTAGTTAAAAATAAACTACGTTAGAGCTTAGCTACTAGATTCAGAACTTCAGAAATTAATTTAAAAATAACTTTAATCCGTAACCTAGGACCAACTATATATTAAACTGCATAACATTTTTCACCTACTTTACAAAAGTCTTATCAAGGCATATTATAAACAATATTTGAACAAAACATATTATCATCATGCTTTGAACAACGAAATCTATACTAATGTTATATAGAGGAAAGATTTGTATTGTGGTACTTTTGCATGTATTGAAATAATTAAAAAACTACTAAGCCGCTTTCACAAATTCATTTACAATTAGAAAGGTAATTTATATGTACGTAACATAGGCTATATATTTTATTATTTTTTAATTTCACAGGGCGAAGTCGCGAGCAACAGTTAGTAAATAATATTTTGATAAAGGTGCTTCGGCAGTTAAATCTGATCGTTACATTTTTTAATTTGCGGCTGGCAATCTTTTATTACATAATCTTAAAAATGTTTAAACCTCTCAATATAATAAAAATATAGTAATAGCGTATATCATGCGTTGACTTTAAATAATGCAATGAGAACCCGTCCGGCCGTCATTCAAGTTCTCACTCCAGCGAGGCAAATAGTACTTTCGCATTAACACCCTAGGACAATGCACTCGAGCACATATCTGAGTTTTACAGATAATTGTATATCTACTTAATACTTACCTTAACTGGAGTAAATGAAAGGTAAAGAAAACTTAATTATCTTTTCTATCAGTATAAAAGTTTGGAATGTAATACATAGAAAGAATATAGCCGGTCTTTTTGCTTATTCACAATTATATGCAAGTTATTTGCTTGTGATTAGATAAATAACTTATAATTTTCTGTTCTGCCTATTTAAAGGTAACCTATGTACGTAAACGTAATAGGTACTAAATTTAAAATTCTGATTTTAAAGTATAGATCATCTCGGATTCATTTCTCACGATCCCGGTACACCTGTTTTACTTCAACATTCGTGTATTTATTATTTAAATGTATGTATATATTTACTATTTACATGCCCCATTTTATTTTATTTTTTTATAATATAAGGTAGCAAACGAGCAAGCGGCCACCTGAATTCACCGAAATGGAAAGCCACCGCTCCCCATAAACATTCGCAATTGCAGATGCGTTGCCTACCCTTAATTGACGGAGGAAAAGACGCACATAATTCGCAAGTGTAAGCGAAAAACATTGTTTAAAGCCTTTACATAACGGCCAGTTCATATCTGAATCAACTTTTTCCTTGGTTTTTCCAATTATTTAATTATACTAACTGTTGCTCCCGACTACGCCCGCGTGAAATTAAAAACAAATAAAATGTACCCTATGTACTCACTAATAACGTAGCTTTTTAATGCTGCAGGAATTTTCGAAATCGGCCTAGTAGTTTTTGAATTATTTGTATATGTAATATATGTAAAAATACAAATCTTTCCTCTTTATAACATTAGTATAGAAGTATAGATTCATAGATTTGTCAAGACTGTTTAAACCAATAACTAGCAACCATGATAGTTTAGTATTCATGTCTCCACTGAGCGATATGATCTAGACTTTAGATATGTCTAGATATCGAACATACAAGTCATAGAACTTGAATTATAACGGTGTCGGCCACAACTGCAATACATTCAAACGACCAAATCTGGTGGTCATTAGTAAATGTGGTACATTCGTAATGAGATATGACTGTGTCAACTCGTGGGACTGAGAGTGGCTTGTTTACTACATGACATATATGTTTATTTATTGAATTACATTATTATAGTGTTAAAACATTGTTAGAGTTTGTACCCTAAACGGTTGAACGGATCTCGATGAAATTTGACATGGACGTTAAAGATAATATGGAAGAAAACATTTGCTAGTCTCTTTAGTTTGTTTTGAATCCCACGCGGACGGAGTCTGGGCAAAAGGCGGAGTGATAGTAGTCTAACGTCCAGTATTCTGAATAGAGTAAAGAATATTAAACAATTCGCTTCATAACCACCGCTTACAATCTGACAGACGTCAAATTTTAATGGAATTTAGATATTAAGCATAGCCGTATAATTTGAGTCGCTGTTAAATATTTAAATGCCATTTCATTATTAGGCCGTATGAATACCGAAAAACATATATCATCGTTAAGAAAGTAAGAAAAGAAGGAAGTAACGACGCAACATGAATTTCTTGTTTAAAAATGAGGCATATTGTAATTAAGTATAAAATTTGTAAACAAAATGCAATAGAGATGAGCCTACAAGAAATTGCCATGTCTCTCTAAGTAAAAGGATTAACTATCTGCGTAACGCTGAGATTAGAACAATTCCAATAGATCAGTATTAACCTAATTTTCTATTATCCCTCATTAAATCTTAATGTTATTTGTGCCATTTTTCAAATATATTACACATAATAAATTTAACACTAGCAGACATAATACCGTTGTCTTTTTAGTAACGCGTCAAATCGCACTAAGAGAGACCTTATTAGACAAACACAATACTTTCTACACATTTCCGTGTAAAAGGCAAACAGTGCTCGCTTGGCAGTTCGACGACCTCGCATTGTCTCAACTCTTGCCCGAGCGGCGATCGTGTTTAACGAACTGTTAGAATCAGAAACTGGAGTTAATACGCCGCGCCGTGAGAACGAAGGAAGTCTGTGGCGCTCGGTTAGCGTCTAATCCGCGCCGGACGTGTTTTTGTATGTCTCAGAGATACTGTTACGAATGCATTAGGTTTAAAGTGACTATTAGAATGTCCATAACGCTATCGTATTCTATTGAGAACGGTATTTAATTAATTTAAGAAGCTATAAATTAATTTACAGTTGAATTTCAAACGACTAAAGTCTACAGAACTTTCGTTAATTGATTAAATAACGATCTTCCTATAGTTAGTTAAAACGTTAGTTTTACTTGGTAGGTACTTATAAGTCCAATTCCTGTCGTTGTTTATTATTTATTTCAACGTTATTCGATAGTTGTAGAAGGGTATACGCTGTTCCGACTAATTCAAACGCCACAATACAGTAGCGTATGCTAATAATATCCGATACAACAGTAAATCGTGGCTAATATCCGGTAATTATGCAGTGATTAATAATTTTGGCAAGCAATCTTTGTTTCTAATGTTTTTACCCAATCTATCCTCATAAACATTCACTTTTACTGCACCCTGAAAGTCACAAGGTCACAAGCTGTTCCCTCCGATACACTTTAAGAAAGAAATGCACACCTACTGGCATGTATATACGTGGGCTACTGTGGATTGAATTTCAAATAATAGGGCACATAAGAGCCGGCTTTCAATTTATAAAATCGCCAAGCGTGCTGTCCAATGTAGCGTAGCGCAGTATCGGGATTATCCAGAGATTACGCCCGATGCTAGAACAATCCAGTTACTATCGGATGGGTAAAGCATAGCTCATTACACCTATCCGTGTTCTATTCCTATCATACTAGTAGTAGATTAGTTGAATTTGAGATACATTTGATGTTTTAGTTTTGTTGTTATATTTTATATGTATTTATTTCTATTTAATTACAGGAATGTGTGATAAAAAGTACAAATCTAAGATCTAACATCGGAAAAACGTTTTTTAACAATTTATTAAATAGCATGAAGCAAATTTTCGTTTCTGACGTCATGATGAATTTTCCAACGTGCACAATATTGCATAAAGGTATAACTCAAGAGTGCACGGTACAGTGGCTTCAATAATACAGCGCCTCTATAAACAACGAGGTTAGGTTCACCATGTTTGTAAAAGAAGCTGATACTTTCTACTTTAATATTTATGTGTCACAGTAACCTATAAACTACTCTGATATGTGAATTTTACGACAACTAGATTAAAAAAAATTGTAATTTTAGTATAAGATTAATTTACGAAAACTTCCGTTCAGAAAATTACAAATTGAACGATGATGTTACAAGTATTTAAATCTGTATAAATGTTGTACTAATTTTCTGAGCATAAACACTATATGTATGATTTAAAATTTTAAGGAAATTTTCTAAAAATCATTGTCACCCTAACAGTGACCCACTTAACAAAATAACGCCGTGCGACCGACTGTATTGACTTGTCCTTTTTTATGCACCTTCAGAAGAACAGATGTTTGCTCTTTAAATTTTAAAGACTGTAACATTTACAATTTTAATTTCCTTTAAAATGTACAAGAACAAAGTGCTTTTAAGTGAATCAATTTAAGCTGCAAATAGTTCACAAAACTTACATTTATCTACATAAAACACTATGAATTCATTTAATTAAATAATGAAAAATAGAGCAAATCCACGACTGCCTTTGTCAATTCTGGAAAAACTTCGTTCGTTGTTTACTAACTCATCAGTCGATTTATATCACTTGTACTAAGGCCGCATATGGTAATAAACAACAATTTGAATAGTTTTACATAAAGCGTTACTTAAAACTAATTTGTAAACAGTAAATATGAATTACAATTAAAACGACCTAGTGACACCCCGACCTATAGTGCGTTGACCTGTTTACTATGACTACAGGGAGATAAATCCATAATTGTAATATCAATAGTAAGAACTCTGAATCTCTTTTGCACTCATGATCTTTGTTAAGTCTTATCAATTTTCATGTTACGGATTGATCCAAATATGTCATGACCCAATCGCACATTCGGATAATAATAAATGCACAATACATATAATGTTCAGGTCTGTTTTTTATTTGCTGCCGAACCCAATAATCGGTCTCAAACATTTTTAATCCCTTTACATCAAATTATATGATCTAAGGATCACAATAGCTCTTGAAGTACTAATCGATCCATTTTGTATTTTCTTTCAAAGTATCTGATCTTGGTATCAATATTAAGGATAGATTATTGCGATCCAGCATTATTTTATAAGAGCGTTGCTATCTGTCGTTGAACTGAGACAACATGGTACAGTTACATGTACTATTAGCATATCGGAATAATAAACCGCGCCTTGGGAGATCCAATGTAAATAATAAATGACGTTGTTCTAAAGGTAATAATAATTTTACACTAGTTTAAACAAACATATTTCACGCTAATGGATTTTAATGCAAATAATTATTATATTAAAATAAATTATGACTAACACTGTAGTAACCGTATAGTTATTAGTATTTTTTGCGAATGTTAATACATTCTTTTTTTTATTCAATCTAAAGTTTTAAAGATCACTTAAATAACATTAAGAGTGCAATACCCTTGTCTATGTGTATCATATTTCCTGAAATTCTATGATAAATCACCATTTACAGCTAAATGACTGACACAAGTATACTTTTAAATATCTTTTCAAAATCATGTATAGCAATATATTATTAATATGAACCATCAACACTCATTTAGTTATGTAAAAACAAATTGTGTATTACATCCGTAAATAGAAAAATATACAATAGAACAAATGCAATAAGTTATCTAATGACGTCTTATATACGTACAGTCGTCACATACATAAACGTTAACTGACATACAATATCACTTCAATGTATGAAGATTAGGTATAAATCGTGTCAATATCACAGTACAAATAACTCGTTAAAAGAACCGATATCTTAAATTCCCTAGAAAATGTACAAGTAAACAGAATACGTGCATTTTTATTAGAAACTGTTCAATCGATAATAATGTAATGATAACAAGATTGATCAATTTAAGATATTTTAGACGCAGTTTGTACTTTCAAGTAATGCTTTAAAAATTTTACATTTAAGTCTACTGAACTACTGTACGTACAAGACTTTTCTGTACTACATACGATTTAGAAGATATAGATTGTAAGAATTCCACTAAGGACGATTACGTTCTTTATTTTTTTAAGTAATAGTAATTTACAATAGTATAATACATGTGTTATGACATGGTATATCAACCAATAATACCGTAAATTGTTATTTATAGCTATCGTTAGCGTACACGCGTTAGCAATTAAATAGGCCAGTTCCGAGGACATTGCCCAAGCGTTGGGCTCAGAGATCACAGCGGAGGGTTGATCGATCCAACAGTTTGTTTATTCCGCTTTCGTCTAAACGACGGAAGCGCTTTATTTGCGTTGGATGAAACGGATTTCAATAGTTCTTTTTATGCCTACTTATTTTCGTTTTTGAAGTGCTTGAAATAATTTAATATTTAATATGAATTATATTTACATAATATCTTCTATCTAAACATATAATAAAAGTAGTAGTCTGTTTGTAATATCAAAAGATAAATTCCAGATTTCGGGAAGATGATGTATTTGCGTTGCTAATAACGAAAATTACGTTTAAAATTTTTTTTCTGTCTGTCCGCAAGCCGCGCCGTTTATAGTAAGATTTGATAACTACCAAAACTCAAAATAAATTTCTATTCCCATCAATTACGAAAATATTGAACTATTCGTTGTATAGAAATAACTGTTACGAATACCCGTCTTTATCCTTTATGACCTTTATATGTCGAGAGCGGAAGGCAGTTAATTGTCTCTATTTTCCACTCACCGCTACATAATTACAACAGTACAAAAGATCACGAGCCATAGGTTGAGAAGCCCCGCTCTAATTCTTACATAAACCTGCTCATTATAATAGAGAACGTTTGTTCCCGCTCTAAGCCGTATCAAGGCTAATGTGCACCATTATTAAAAGTAAATAGTGTTTAGATCCTTTGTTACGATATCGTAAATACTTATATGTGGAAAAATATAAACAGCTCGCTTAAGTAGTGTATACTTTACTGTACTCGTATTCAAGGACATCTCTACACAAAGGGACTTTCTTAGTGAATACAAAAGATAACTGAGTGCAAACAATGTATTTAACAAAATATACTAAGATTAGGGGGCGAAATGAATGTAAGACAGCATATTTCAATCTCAAACAAAACATTAACTTTTACTATACAACTTAGAACTGTTAAGAGGTCTCCTTTAGTATAGTCTTAGTGTGCAATACTTGCACTAAGAATCAACCTTAGCCACTATAGGATTGCTATGCTGGGTTGCTGAATTTTTCCATTTATTTTATCGTTAACTAGTCATTAATAAGACTTAGGTTGACCTAAGTTTTAACGGAGTTAAACTGAAGTTACATAGTTCGGACACGAATTAAACAAAATTAAACACTAACGAATGGTTAAAAGTAGTTGGGAAACCAGTATTGTAATTTTAAAATAGTTATATTCTGTTGTTCCTAACATAGTATGCGACTTACTAATAATTTTATGAGCTGATTAAAATAGAAATAATTGATTTTCTAAAAATAATTAGATTTCCCGAACTCGGTTGAGGAGCGCTTACCTTGAATGGTAGCTATCATTCAGAACCCGGGTCGCAAAGGGCCGGAGACGTTACGATGCACATTGTCTCACTCCATGTCACTTCACACACATCACTTGCACTGCACTTATGTCACTTAACACATGCTTGCAAATCCTGTTGCCGCTTCTGTAACAAAAAAAAAAACATTGTTTGTATTCATTTTACAAAGGTACGTTGAATATTATAATGCGGGTTTTTTGTACCTACGTAAGATAAAAATCTTGTTTTAAAAGTAAATCCGTTTGCTGAGCTTCCTTTAATATTGCATGTTAATACACCATTGATGCAAAATATTAGAACTACTTTTTCCATACACAATTATTTATCTGTATTTTTTAAATGGATGTTTGATACCAAGAATCTCCACAATGGCTCATGTGAAAACACACAGGCTATTTTTTACTTCCACGCGGATGGAGCCACAGGAAATAGCTAGTTTTTTTTATAAAATTTTAACATGTACCCTCATTTTGGTGACTAGCGATGATAATATGGTCAACATTACTCTGACAAATTCCAGTAACACAAGGGGCGCGCGACAACCCCACTTTGGCGACCCCACAGTTGTTAAATTATGTTGAAATCGCTTACGATTTTGTTCGATTCCCCGTCACGTGGTACAACACTAAATAATTGATGCCTTGTATTGTTCGGTTTTATGACTCATTTGGGTATGCCATGACTAGGAAATGTTTCGGGTGTAATAATTTTTAATTTTTATGTTAAGGTAGTTATTTAATATTACATCTGTATAATTACATTACTGTCTTTGGCTAGAATTTAAAAAAAAAGTCAATTAAATTTAATTAGCACAATTTTTTTTACAATCAGTAACAAACTTAATAATCATCAACACAAAGTTCAAAAAACTTCAAGCGAATCAGCACTAATAAAATACACTGGACTCATAAAAAGATAAATACCTAACTCTACTGACATAAAACACAATACTAACGTGAGCTGCATTATCTTTTCATTATTATCTTTAATTGTATTTTAGTTTTAATTAATAATTAAACAGTAAAGTCTTTGTCTAGCAGTACAAAGGAACCAAATTTTACGGTTTCAACTTCTCTGATACAATTTGTTCTTTAAAGTGGAACATGATTAGTACGTCGTTTTTAAGTTTGTAAATGTACTGTTTATTGATAAGTTTCGCTAACACAAGCAAAATTACATATTTTCACGCATAATAGCCTCAGAATGAGCACAATCTAATTCCAAGGTCTGCCTATTATTAGAAATATTACTGTTATAACTCAATGTTTATAGAGATAGCAAAACTTTATACATATTACTATAAATAAATAATCATAAATACTATAAATGCGAAAGTTTAGATGGATTTTAGAGCTTGTATTCTAAACTGCTAAACGGATCTCGATGAAATTTGGGATAGATAGAGAAGATAGTCTTTGAAGAACACATAGACTATTCACTTTTTTTTTAATCCACGGCAGACGGAGTCGCGGGCGAAAAATAGTATTACTATATAAACATCATGAACCAAGTTAACAGCTGTCGGGTAATCGGACACTAAATCAGGGTACCCGTATTATGATCGAACGAATTTCTTTTTGCAATCTGGCTATAGATGCTTAACAAAGTCAAAGGACCTTAACTACTACTTATAGGAAATTACTTTAATTTTCTGAATGGATTCGGTCTAACGTACTTTTAAATAAAATGCTATAGACAAAATACAAATCGTTAAATTAATTCAGTCAAATCGATTTTAATCGCATTTTAGTCGCTTCAGAATCGTACCTCCTATTCCAAAAGTAAATGCTGCAACCACTAAACCACCGGCGTTTTAATTAAAGGTGATCTCAGGCAATACAAAAATCGCGAACGCGTACCCGCCGAGAGCTTCATAAATAATACCTTGTCGCAAACCAATCGATTATAATCGCAAAGCAATTTTTCAGAACGCAGAATCGAGTTCACCACATCGGCACGACCTGTATACATTCACGCACACACAAACAAAGCGATGTCTCCAACAAAATAAAACACCGGCCGCTGTCATGTGGTATTGATTCCGGCCCTTCGCCTTCCATCCCTCTCGCGCTTACCCGGTTTTAGAACGTGCGAACAGGACAGGTGTACTTTCTTCTCGCCAAGATGTTGTATTTACTCGTGTGCAGATTAATACGGTAACGCCCTGTATATTACTTTGTACCTGTACGTGTGTTACATCACACACAGAATATTCAAATTATGTTTCATGTTTCTAGTTACTTTGTTCGCATATTATCTAGATTCTAGGTATATTAACTACAACGGATTAGTGATAAGCAAAACTGATTCACCAGTAATTCCTTTGTAATCTAAGCGTGGGACTTAAAACGAATACTAAAAACCCGATACATGTTTGAGAGCTTAAAATTACTAGCAGTAAAGTTATGAATAGCTAGTCTATCAAAGAAAAATACTAGCAACTACGTTATAACAAACAACTGGCATCATTAAATAATACAATTACCAGTGCTATTAAGCTGAAACTTAACTAAATTGCTGTATTGTTTCAATACAAGTACACTAATTATATTCACACAACCTTTAGTACGGCAGATGTTACAGTGTAGATGTTATGCGTATATTTTGATGGAGTGGACGAAACTGTAGAAGAGGGGCGGATGGGTCGTCACCCTAATTTCATATAAAACACGTACAAGCATTAATATGAACGTTCTAAATAAAGGGTATGTTAAATCACAGTTTTATCTTGCCCCTTATTCAGGCCTGGAAATCGATAAGTGCATTGCAATAAGCTATCTATGTTTGAAGCATGCTGAAGTAGTTTGTTTTAGATAGGTATACGAATAGTTGATGAAATGATTTTAATTAAACACACTATGTCGATAGAACTGTGGACAGAGGTGAACTTAAAATTACCCAGATTTCTAGCGATTGTTGTTCCTCTATTTTATCTCAGAATCAGAGACTATTTCAAATAAAGGTTTATAAGGTCCCATCGTATTTACCAATATTATAAATGCGAAAGTTTAGATGGAGGGATGTTTGTTAGTTTGTAGTCTAAACTGCTGAACTACTTTAGTTGTTTTTTTTTAATTTGACGCGGATCAAGTCGCGGGTGAAATTTAATTTGACATAAAGTAAAGTAAAGGGCCTAAAATTTTTTTTGGAATTAAACTAGAATATCGGATGTTAAATGTAAAAAAAACAATAATTAATTCGGATGTAATTTATGTTTTTACAAATACATCACAATAAGTTTAATGTTTTAGTTTTAAACTCCAGTGACAGTCTATAGAAATTAGTTTATATATATTATAAGCAAAAAAACAAAACACGGCGGCAATCGAGGCAGCTGTCTCCTGCATAACATGGGTCTTCAGTTTTTATCCAATATTTCGCAGCGCTCCAACCACTGTTCTCTAATTAGATGTTACAAGAACGTCTCAGACAGTTGACACTATAGCTGTCGTGAATTTAAAATAGGTATCTTTTGAGATAATCTTATGATCCGTGGATGGAGGTTAGGTTGTCCGTGTATATTTATAACAGTAACACCCGTACAAAATTATCATTACAGAAAAAAAAAGAACTTAAAGTAAGTTCTGAAATCAGTATTACCATACTAATCTACCTTAAGATATGGCTCAAGGAACTATTAAAAAAACTTTCAGCTGTTATTATGCGTCAGTTAACTTTAACATGGATTTTGTCATTTTATCAACGTCTTTGTAAATAAATTGCTCCTTCAAACGGAAATCCATCCGCCGTATAAAGCGTCATCACATAAAAACTTGTACAAACGAGAGGATATTTTTGCAAGTTTCTTCTGTTCAGTTTCATCTACATCGTTCGAAAGTGCGCGTCAAAAAAGCGACATCTTCGTACAAAATCACTTTCGATTTAAGAATGTATTGCATAAAATGGAATTATAAAATAATAACGGCATTTAATTGCGTAATATATAAAAATGTACGTAGCTTTCTTTTCAGGACTTTTAACGAGACAATTTAATTCAAAATGAAGGAATTTGATTACTTTCATTTCTTAAAGTAAATTTCCCATACCGGATCAAAGCAAACACGTGCTTTAATAACATTTGTGTTAAAATAACTTTGTGAAAGCAGATTAAATAATAGTCGTGCATTGATTGATTGAAATTGAGATTTGCATTATTATATCCCCTCATGGAAACAATGCGAGGGGGCCATGGGAAGCGGACACTACCCATACTCTATTTGTCGATCACAACTGTTTTCAATCCCACCATACTTTATCTCGGTAAATACAATAAAACTATTAAATATTGTTTTCTGTAAGTAAATACGATGAAGTTTAATATTTCCAATTGTAAACAATGAAAATAAAGATTGTTTATTAATGCATATTGTTACTTTCCAATTTATTTTCAAGGGTTCAGTGGTTTTAATGTTAAAGAGAGTTTATGTAGTACAGAGAAATAAATCTTACTATTATAAATGTGAAAGTTTAGATGGACGTATGTTTATTAGAGTTTGTCGCCTAAACGGTTGGATCCCGATAAACTTTCGAATCAATATAGACGCTATTCTAGAAGTAATGGAAGAAGTCTGGATTTTACAATAAACAACTAAAGGTTTATTATCACAGCTAACAATTATCGTGTTTATTAGCCAAAGAATAAAAATATTTTAATAGTTAATTCCGGATTATTATCGTACATGTAAATTCTAATAATACAGGTAAAGTTGGAGGGACACGCAATCGGACGCTTTCTAATTGAGGCCGACGATTTGGTAACAAGCAACTGCTCAACTTTTCTTGTTATAAATACATCTAAGAATTTGTCGTTGCTTATTTTTAACGATTTCACACTGAAATATGTAAACAATAGGAAATAAAGATCCCGTATACAGAACGTTACATCGTTAAAGCGAATTGTTAAGCATTATTTACAAAATGTCAATTGTCGGTTTCCTCTCTAGGACAAAAAGGTAATGAGAAACTGTATTTGGTGATGAAAGATCGAAATGTGAACGACACCCGCCTTTCTACGAACAACTTTGATGCGCGTTGCGTCAGTCGCTTAGTGACTAAAATCGCCAGGTTTTGACGTTTTGCGTTGCGTTGTGTTTCTTAAGTGTCTATGATGGCCGATCAAATAGAAG